TACGTACTTGTATATATATATATACATAGAGATATATATATATATATGTACTCGTTAAGGCACAGAAACAATTCCTCCAGCCTGCAGAGCAACACGGAGAACAATATATATATATATATATATCTGTATATATATATATTAAGACATTAAGACAATTACTTTTTGTATTACAAGTTTCCTGTTATGTTTAAATATGCAGATGAGGCCTTCTCTAACGGTGACGTGACAGCAGAGAGTTACATGAGCCTCTTCTTACTCGGTGATCTCTCTGGTGAGCAGCAGCACCGTGTCCCAGGACACCCGAGTGTTGTTGAGGACGAGGCGGCGGACTCGAGAGAAGCCTCCAGCACACGGCGGCTCCAGACGGCTTCCTGCTAGAGGGTTGGAGCTCAGGTTCAGGAACTCCAGGTTGGGGATGTTGGACACGATTTTACTGATCTAAGAAATGACACAATGTGTTTTACTTTTGTATTTTGAAACCACAAATGTAAAGAGAAAAGTAGAAGATTGATTTCACTCTCTGGACGACAGATCTTTACTGGTTGAAAGAGTTTTATTTAGTTCAGCCTCCCACCACTTGGGGGCGTAGGTGTGAATGAGGGCACAGGTGTTATGATCAGGGGCTCATTGATGCAGGTGTTGCTGAACAGAGGGGAGCAAACAGTCAATGACGAGAACGGTTATGATTTCTGTAGTATGTGGAGGAAGTGGTGGTCCTCTGTTTATGTTCTTTAAATATATTACATACGTTAGAAACTGGACTTGGTTATTTGGCACGCGTCTAATCAATCAGCAGCCGTGGTGGCTACACTGCTTATTAGTGCTCATCAGAATAATTACTAATGAATTACTCATAAAGAAAGAACATGTCATACAATGGACCTCTATGACACAGATACTGCTCTTATTTTTATTTTATTTTTGTATTTGTATACATGTTTTTATTATTATTGATTATTTATTGAAGTATTGATTGTTTTTTAATTGTTTCATCTATTGTACTCTTTTATTAGTGTTTGAATGAAATGAAATGTTATTTTGCTTTTCTTAGTTTTGTCTGTCAAAGCACTTTGTAAAGTCTGTTTTTTAAAGGTGCTCTATAAATAAAGTTATTACTATGATTATTATGATTACACTTTGGATACACACAACATAAACACATAAACACATAAACACATAAAGCAGACAGACACCTGTCTCCAGTCCTGCAGCAGGTTGTGAGACAGGTCCAGCTCGATGACATGGTTGCAGAAAGCAGCAATCTCCGCCTGGTCTCCGGCTCGGATGATCCCACAGCTGTTCAGAACCAGCATGGTGGGCATGTTGAGCCGGTCTGGAGGATGGAGGGGAGGGTTAGGGTTATACAGAGAGGGGGGGGGGGGGGTTAAACAGAGAGACCTCCAGCTCACCTTTCATAGGGGACCCTTGAGGACCCACGGTGGGGACCACCACCACTCCCATACCGGGCCCCCTGCGGAGGGGGAAGTTCTCTGGGCTGTACTTCTCATTCAGAACCTCCACAAAGGAACGACCATCCGAGTCCTCCGGAGGCTCCATGACGGCCTCCTGCTGGGCGGCTGGAGGAGAGACGCACACCTAGATGAACCAATAACTGATCATTGATGATCATATCATCAGATACAGATCCTATTAA